GCTGAACCTCATCCAGATTCCAGATTCCCGGCACCTGTGTACACATGCGTGCTTTCTCATCCTGTTTCACTGCAGAGCACGGACCAGAGCCTTCTCTTATGAAGGCTCCTGGGGACCAAGATTTGGAGAATCTGGGGGAGCTGCCCCTTGAGAGCAACTGTCCTGCCAGTCCCACCCTTGCTTCTGAATCCCACTCCAAGTGAAGGATCTGTTGGATTCCTGAATTCGCAGGATTTTCACTGTTACTGGCCAAAATCCCAGTCCAGTCTCAGGTGCCCATTTCTCTCCCTCCAGGCTGTGCTGAATTAGCCCTTGGGAATGAGAGTACATATGACATTTTTGAGCCAAAGGAGGGAATTTCAGGCCTATGAGGAGACTGTGATTGGAAAGTGGCTTCAGAATTTCATTCTATGAGATGCAGCTTCCCTGCTACCCAATGGCCTGCTCATTTTTATACGGAGACTTGAGCTCCTGTTTGAGCCCATCTCTGGCTTCTATCTTCAAGAGGCTTGGCCCATTTTGCAGGCAACAGCCTCTTTTCAGAGCCTTGCTTACCCCTGCCTGTTTCTTCTTAAAGCCACATTAGTCTCATTCCTCTGGAATTCCACCCATTACAAATTTAGTTTTCTTCTCTGAGTTCTCCATATCCTTCTTGTTTGGGGAGGAAACCTCAAAAGAGACACCATGCTAGATCTTGACCACTGACTCCAGTGGAGAGGTAGAATCTGAGTGGGTTTGGGAGGTTGGCTGACCCAAGTTCAAATCCCAGCCCCACCAATGACTAGCTGTGCAACCTTTTTATACTTCCTAAACTCCCGTTTCTTCTGTGAAATGGGGGTATTACCTATTTCACGGGATAACTGAGGGGATTATATGAGAAGGCGTGTCTGAAGCATGAAGCTTAGAGCAGGCACTGCAGACTGTTAATTCTCCTTCCTCTCTCGAGGATGGAATGGGAGGCTCCCCTGACAGTGGATTCAGAAGACTTTGTTCCCTTCAGGAGGAGCGGCCACCTCAATGGCAGTTCTTCCCCACCCTGGCAAAGACCCCCGTGCTAGAAACTGGGGCTCAGTGTCTGCTCTGGGGCTGCCTTGGTCACTGCCAAGATGCCGCCCAAGTCTCAGAGTCTACAAACAGCTGATTTCAGGTTCTTAGACAAGAAGTTATGTGTTGTTCTAGATGGGCGGCCCTCTGCAGGGAACAAAGGATCAGGCTCACCAAAGTCTTCCTTTCATGTACCTGAGTCTCTATGGACTCAAAAGTACCCGTCGTTCGAAAACCCCACTAGCTTCACATTTCACTAACTTTTGATTAGTGTGACTTTAGGCAAATCTGGATTGAGGTTTCTTCTCGGGAGAAATCAGTGGTGTGAAAAAGATTTCAAGAAAGTAGTTTATCTACTCAAGTGAGCAAATCATGTCCGAGCATCTTAGAGATTTGTGTGAAATGGTGGCAATGGCCATGTCACCGGCCTCGCTTCCGTTCACCCCCTGCAGTCTGAGATCGTGGGGAGTTAGTGATCCTGACCCAGTGAAGCCTCAGTCAGGTCAGGGGTGCCCAGAAGCTCTGCCTCACTTAGGCTTTCAGGTGGCTGACCAGGCCCTCTGCATTCTCTGCCCTCTCCCATCAGTCACTCCTCTGCTGCCACCAACCACCGCTCT